GGGGGGAGGCGGGGGAGAGGGCGGTGGATTTCGGCTTTTAAATGATAGGTTTCGGATAAGTCAAAGAACAATCTGCCGGAGTTCTGCGGTATTTTTTACAGGACACTAATACATTCGTCAGCGATACATCCACACTAAGTTGCATTGTTCATGCCACCGAATTTAGCATTTGGTTTTTTTCAGGGGCAAGTGCCTCACCAGCGCAAATAGCAGCTCTTGCAAACTCGACACCATCAGGAACAATTCCGAACGCGGGATGGTGTATTTTTGTATATAATCTTGCGCCGGAAGCGGAAGATTCGTTACTCTGGCAGATGTTCGGACCGTTTGGTGCAGTTTTAAGTGTTAAAGTAAGTTCTCACTTACTTTAAGTGTTAAAGTAAGTTCTGTGAGTAAATAGGCCTTTATGGTGAAGTGACATTGAAGTTGAGGTGTTAAGTGATGTAAGCGGGAGTGGCAGGAGATGGGAGAGCTTTTTCAGCCTTCCCGTGCGCCTGGGTGCCACATAATGTTCCTCCAGTACTTTGGAATCCCTTCTAATTAGCTGCCTTCTGGACAGTAGAACAGACTTTTGTGTAATTGGCTAAATTTTCGGGACTGAAGAGTTTTTAGCTCTTGTATTGCTGAGATGTACTAAAACATGCAGGGCATGACTGTTATTGGCTTTTTTCCAAGTGCTTATGTATCAAGCATATGCCCGCTTTTATTACATATGCCTATCAGTTCTTTCGGGATTGTCTTGCTGTTCCGTGAAAAAGGCGTTTTGTCTCATGTGCCGCCACCACCAACTTGCTTTTAAGCAGTTTTTGGAAAAGAAAGCTACTGAGAGTGAAGTTTTCGCTGAAATGTGGACCCGCTTATGCTACTCCCCATAGTGCTTCCGTCTGTCGCAGCAGAGGGTGGACAAGGGCAGTTTTTTTCGACTTCAACCTGTGATGATAACCGAACATAATGTTAAATTATTGGCATATTTATCATTGCGCTTGGGATCACTGTCCTTTTTACTTTGGAGCCGTTAATGGTGCTGGTTACACATTTGCTTACATTACGAGTCAATGATAGAGTTCATACATCTTCTTCAAAAATGAAATGAATTAAGCAACTTTTGCCAGTTCTTGACCTCACTGAAGTGCATTGCTGTGCTCACAGGAATTGTTTGTTAAAATTTTTCGTGTTTTTAGACTATCAAAGATTTTTCAACCGGAAAATGTAAAGGGTACGGTTTTGTAACGATGGGCCAGTATGAAGATGCAGTGACAGCAATTACGGCACTCAATGGTACACAGATGGGCAATCGTACTCTTCAGGTCAGTACCAATTTTCTGAAATTTATAGATTTATTATTTGAGTGCAAAAGATGCACTTCCATTGAAAATGTTTTTTTTTTCTCGTTGAGCTGCTACTTCTAGAACATTTCTGTGATGATATTATATTATATTCTAGCTTGGCCACACCACACGTTGAGTAGCTGCGATTGGTACCAGGAGGAGAAACGCGGTGGGAAGAGGGACAGTCGTTTGAGTTATTTTCTAGTCTGTTGTTCGTTCAATAGTTTTCTGTTGTAACGGTCTGGATTTCGTATGTAATAAATCGTAGCTGCGGTCACTGGGATTGCCCGAACTGTTGGTGTATGATTGCCCGAACTCA